ATTTTTAATAAATTTTTTTTTAGTATGGTAAATATTAATCAAAGAAGCACTTATAAAATTCTTCCAATACCATATTATTTCACAATTATCACGATTTTCAGGGTAAATTTTAAGAGAAAAAATTATAATTTAATATATTTTATATCTTAACTCTTGTTCGGATATATATCTTCCAGATTTTTAATAATTGAAATTCATAAAACCATTTAAAAATCAAAATCCCACGTCCCACTAAAATATACCAAACTACTGGTTATGAAGCGCACTAATTGTCATAAAACAATTGTTGAAATGTCAAAATTTTGTCGATACGAAAAGCGCTAATTTATAAAACATGAAATATGACAACAAGATCCATCATGGCCTCGTTTCCGCGACGTCGCAAAAATTCGTATTAAATTTACAGCGAAATTTCCGATGTAAAATCTCAACCCAGAAACTCATCCCCCATATTTATCGGACTAACAACGCTGTTCTCGATATTATATATATATATATATATAATGTTTATCGTGTCGCGCGAAACTCGCACGCGCTCCGTTTCCACGCTCGGCTGGACGCTCTGGATGTAGAAAAAAATTGGGCGAAGCGTTTAATCCACTGGAGAACAACGTCGTGCACGCAAATAAGATGACATCGCGTGGCTCGCGGCGAAGCCCTTGCGCGGATAGGAAAAAATAAAAAGCGAAACTGCGTCGCTGCATTACCGCGCGATGCAATCAATTTCCGCCGCGTGCTCGAGTCGGCCGCAACGTGTTCGCGCTGGGATTACATGATAGATAACGGTCGATCTTATCCAATGATCGGGATAGACTGCATTTCAACAGGGTAAAAGGAGGAAAAAGGAACGATCTATACGCTGATAACGGGAAATCTTTTCCTCGCGACGCTGATGCACAAGTGATTGTTATCGTGGATGTTATTATCGTAAATGCGATGCTTGTAAATTAAATTTCGAAGCGATTGCGCCTCGATAATGTTGTTGAAATTTGTAATACATTTATAAAGCAAATAAATCCACTGCGAAAATTCTAAATTTATTATATTTAGACATTTTTTTTAATTTATTATTAAATTGAGAAATTTTTGCGTAAAATTTACATACTTTAAATTATGCATTCAAATTATGCAGTATACTATAAAAAAAAATGATTACTAAATCAACTACATATTATTTTGTTAATTGAATCTATAAAAATATTTCAATTAAATATAACATTAAATTGAACAAAACGTATATTTGACTTAAATACTAATATATGTTGATTTAACCAAATAATAATTTAATTGAAAGGTTTAGTCGAGTTAACAATTTTTTTCAGTGTAGTACTATTTTTATATTCAATAAATGTCTTAAAAGTTACATTCTTTGACTAATATGTTTTATTATAAAAAGGCAATACAGCACAATGCTAGATTACGTAACGAGAGATGTAGATTGAAAAAAATTCTTTTAATATGGGGTATGAATAGTATATAATCAAAAAATTGTATAGCAGAACTACGTTACCGCTACGTCGGTGCAAACAATATATATTTATGCGAATTATACGCTTGATTACAAATAACAGCGTTGAAAGAGTTTTGTTTCGCAACATTACGTTTTATCCGTTGTAAATCGTGATTTAATTGAAATCCCGTCCAAACCGCGCCTTTGTTTACAATGAAAACGATCGCACGCGTATCCCGCTGTATCCGGTAGTCGACCTCCGCGTTAGCGATCGCCACGAGAATGCCACGGACGTATCTGACGATCTTGATCGTGTCGGATCACTCTCGAGCGCAGCATCATGAAAGACGGGGCTAAATCACGGAGGGCCGTTAGTTTCGATCGCAGAACGTTCATGCGAACTCGTACCCGATCAACATGGCACACACACACACACACACAGAACGTTTCATTCAATGTCTCACGCGTGCGGAAATTCTATCTAAAAGACATACTGGGTGGCTTTTAACACAAATTTCCTCATCAAATTTATTAGAATTTTTTACAAGTAAAAATTAAATTGTTTTAAATTTTTAGTTTTTATTATTTTATTAATAATTTTTAATTTATTTTTAAAACAAAAAATAAAATGAATTATTTTATTAAGAATTCTCAATTTTTATTAGCCCCTTTTTTCTCCCACATATAAAAGATATTGCTGTTGTTTATCAACATAACATGAATTATGATGAGTGAATCTATCTCTTCACTTTTCTGTGACACTTTGAAAATTCTGAAGAAACTGATATTATAAAAATTATGCAAAATATGTGCATACGTATCGATTCTATTATAAATATATTTATTATATTTCGATATCAACGGAGAGAAAATAATTAATTTATACACGGAGAGAATTTTCTCTTATAAAAATATTATAATAAAAAATATATTAATAAAGAATATAAATATGTGCGTAATAAAATTAATGGAACATATTTTATATATATTTTATTGTGGTAAATATACATATATTAATCAGAGAAACTCTCTTATAAATTCTTCCAATTGTCCCACGATTACCATGATTTTTGGGGTGAATTCCAAGAGAAAATTCTCTCTGCGCAAATATTATAAATATAAATATTAATTTGTTCAATAAAATTTTGCAAATATTTGCTCGACAATATTGCGTCGAAAAATGGAGCGCTTCTAAAAACGCGGCGCGAAGAGAGAATTTCCAAGCCACCGTGTACACACTACCGCGGCTGTACAAACACCGACTGTGTTCTACCAATCCATTCCGCGAGTGTCACTTTGACTGACACGTGGGCACGCGGCCGCAGATTTAATAGCGCGCGCATCGCGGTGCAAGGAAGGCTCCCGAAAAATGCATCCTTTAATCGCGGCGTGCAATCTTGCGGGAGATTACACGGCGCGACGTGAGATATTATTATATACAATGCGGCCGCGATTGCGAAGGGAACGCCGTGGCGGATGTAAATTAGCCTCATTCCTCGCGAAATTAATTCCGAGGCCGCGTGGCAATTGAACGCCGCCGATTTGACACGGGTGAAAAATTTTAGATTGACTCCTCCCGGCCAATAATTCGCCGCTCGAACGAGCCGCGTTTTGAAGCGCGTCTCGAAAAAAACAGGCTGCCTCGATGAGCGATCGGCGAACACGTTCGGGCGTAAGATTCACCTCTATTATAAGCCACCGATGCTAATTGCTATTACAGCCGATGCGTTGCATAAGCGCAATTATCGCGCGAGCGATGCAGTTCGCGGAGGATTGCACATGTGCACGCAATCCTTCATAGTTCGGGTCTATGTGGGGTCTACGAACTTCTGCACCAGCTGCGTTGCTTCGTATATCTTCTTAACGAACGCTATAGAATTATTAATTGCGGCTATGATATACGTATCATGATAAACGATGGATGCATTCTCTGACAACTTAAATACGGCGTTTGCTATTATCTAAAGAAAATTATATAGATGAAATTTTGGCGGCATCTTATATCTTTATAATATCAAGATAAAATGAAATCATCTTTATCTAGTTAATTTTAAAATATTTAAGCAACACTATATATATATATATATATATATATATATATATATATATATGATATATAAGAAATCTATATATTAAATAAATGGCTGAAAACATGATAATTATAATGTTTCGTTTTTATGTCATGCATTATTAGCATATTTTATTTTCATATATATATAATGCATGACATAAAAACAAAACATTATAATTATCATGTTTTCAGCCATTTATTTAATTATATAGATTTCTATCGATTTAAATAATCTGGTATCATTACACTTATAGGATGATATGAAAGTAGATGATAATGACTAATGAAATTTGAAATTAAATCGAAATTTAATAAGAAAATGCGGCCTTATTTAAATCGCGTGGGTTGGCTCGCCACTCTAATTAGGCTTGTCAGATCGACGGAGCGGAGCGATCGATCCCGATACAATTGTCTAGGGACAAATATCCGAGACTAATCGAACTGTGTCATCGGTCGATGTGACGTATATACGAACGTAAACGATCTGTATGATCTACTTCTTCAAGGATGCAAGTGTTCAGTAGCGCCAATATACGCGTTATTAATTTCCGTACAATGACACGTTGTTAATAACACGTGTCAGTTGCAAAACGTTAAATCTTTACTCTGACAGAACGAAACGGCGCAACGAATATATTTCAACCGAAGGAAGCGATTTCATTACTTTTTTTTATATTTGATATATTTTATACATTATATATGTATAATATATAATATATATTTCTCTCTTTGAATAATAATTTCAAATATGAAAAAAATTATTTATATGTATATTATTTATATATATTATATGTTTCTCTCCGTTCCAAATATTATTATTTAATCAATATAGTAAAAGAGGCCAGCATAACGAGCATTAAATAGAATGTTAGAATCAGAAATTTATTTAATATATTCAGCAAGCATTGTTAAACCGAAAAAATATCAATCGAATCGGACAAACCGTAAAAATTTACAAAATCTTACATAAAAGAATTATTAATTAAAAAGACAAAGAATTATTAATTCTTTTATGTAAGATTTTGTAAATTTACGGTTTGTCCGATTCGATTAATATTTTTCGGTTTAACAATGCTTGCTGAATATATTAAATAAATTTCTGATTCCAACATTCTATTTAATGCTCGTTATGCTGGTCTCTTTTACTATATTGATTGTTTCAACAATATACGAGCGAATATTAAATTTATGTTAATTATTATTATTTAAAATGACAAGACGTTCTTATTGTGCTTTAAGCCGAAGATGAAGTGACCGGCTACACTGTAAAAAAATATGTAATATATTACACAAAAATATGTAAAATTACATAAATAATAAGTGTAAAATTACACGATAAATAATAGAAATATTTACCTTTTCATTATTTATCATGTAATTTTACATTTATTATTTATGTAATTTACATATTTTTTTACAGTGTAATTATGTCTTAATCATGTGCATCTTTAATGAGAAATTGTGCGCTTTTTGTTTCAGGGTGCGCGGTTCCGAGACACCTCGCAGCAAATTCATAAACAATGGCAGGCCGATCCGGCGAGGGCATTTCCGAGCGTCGGCAGCGTCTCCACAAATTCGCCCTCTCCAGCATCGGGAGACCTTTCCACCCCAAATTCGACTCCCAGCCCTAGCCCTAGTCCGACTAATCAGCAACTCACGGTGAGTACCTGCGGTTAATCAAATTAAATCACGCGCGGTAAACAATCTAGAAGCCACCGTTTATAATTCAATTTTAAATTTGCCACGTACGTAACTCATCGCAATTTCATTGCAAAGAGGAGCAAAAGTGACATCATGTTTCTTCGCCGAAAAAAAGATTTGTTAATTGGACTAAACCTTTCAACTAAATTACTACTTTATTAAATGAACGTATATGAATATTTAAGTGAAATATATATACGTTTTGTTCGATTTAATATATCATATTTCATTTAAATATATTTTATGTACAATTAACAAAATATTATTTAGTTGAAAACTTTAGTTAACAATTTTTTTAGTGTTCCTAATGACTGAATAATTTTATCAAATTGAATACTTAAAACGTCGCTAGTGGTATTTAAAATAGGAACGATATATTTAATTCTCGACCCAAACTAGCCAAAAAATTTTTATTTTATTTCCACAACGTTTCGACCATCTGTTTTTGATCCTTTTCAAGTGAAAAACTAGAATGGTACAATTAATTAAAATTAATAAACATTTTTATGTTAAACGCAAGAATTAAAAATTTTTTTTTACATACTCCTTGATAAAAGCGCAGTTAGTTGACACTGTTGTCATGATTATTAAACAATATGATTTAAGAAATTCGGATAATCATATTGTTTAATAATCATGACAACAGTGTCAACCAACTGCGCTTTTATCAAAAAAGTATGTAAAAAAAAATGTTTATTAATTTTAATTAATTGTACCATTCTAGTTTTTCACTTGAAAAGGACCAAAAACAGATGGTCGAAACGTTGTGGAAATAAAATAAAAATTTTTTAGCTAATTTGGGTCGAATTAAATATATCGTTCCTAATTTGAATAATTTTAATTTGTTTGTCTGCATTAAAAATCGTTTATCGATTAATACGAGATTTTCGCAATTAATTTTGCGGCGTTACGCGACGTCGTCGACGATTCCATACGACGTTCCCAAAAGAAGAAGAAACAATTTCTTCCGACACGGTGTCGCGCAAAATGTTGAGCTGTTTGTTGTGCGAGATCTAGACCGGCGACATTTCCCTCGAAAGGCCAATAAAGTTTTATCTCGCGCTTGTATGCGAAACGCGACGAGAAGCGCCGATATATCTTTTCGGTGGAGCAAATCCTGCTGCAAGCGCAGACGTCGCATAAGTGCACTGAGAGACCTGAAATTCTCTGGGGTATATCAACCACCATTTGAGATTCCGTCGTCCATGTAGGTCAGGGGTTGAGGCATCGTCGAGCTCTCTTGCAGAGCGTCGATACAAGTATATATATATATACGAACACATTGTGCATGCATTCAATGCACGTTACAACCGATTTCTGCATCGATTTCCGCCGACAATAATGCGCGACAACCGCGCTCGAAATATTTTTGCCAGTAAATTTACGTGTTCGTTAAAGAAACTGTTTTGATATAGCGAATTTTCCTCCCATTCTTTTCGCAATACCGCGAATTTCCATAAGTTCCAAATGCGAAATTAATTCGCATCGACGAATGCAAATTAGATATTTTGCTCCGAGCCAATACTATCGAGAAAGCGCTTCCTTGCTTACTTTATGTATTCGAGAAACGGGGTAGAAACCTCAAAGCTCTCGCCACTCCGCATTTTTGTTCCTTTGATAGATCATGCATCGATTCTACAACGTTACTGATATTTGTGTCACTAGAAGGAATATATATATATACAGGGTGTCCCAGACTATCACCCATTAACAGGAGATTCCTCGGGTTATTTGGAGACAATTTTTCCTCAGTGAAAATGTCGAGGCACCAATAACACTGTTCAACAAAAAATAAATGGTTTGTAGTTTTTGAATGCTGAATACGGTTTTCAAATTGTTCCATCATGTCACAATTTTGAGAATTTTTAATTAAAGTTGCAAAAAGGGCTATTTTCAACTTCGTCATATTGTAACTGCAATATGTGACATGCTGGAGAAGTTTTATTGCAATCAAAATAAAGTTACTGTTAGGACTTTTAACCTCAAAAGGAATTTTTGATATCGGTTCATAAAATATCCATGGTTAAATATAAACTGTGTTGCGGAAGTTAGCTGTGACTTACAATTAGCTCATTGACGATTTACCAAATAGCTTTTAAGAATTTTTTAATCCTTCAGTGAAAATTTTAAAAATGTTTTTTTTTTTTATATAAATCCCTCATATTGAGTTCACCATTTTGAATTTGACAATTTTGACACTGGATTCGTATTCAACATAATTGAAATCTATTTGTACCGACATCAAAAATTTCTTTTGAGGATTGAAAGTCCTAACAACATACTTTATTTTGATTGCAATAAAATTTCTGTAATATAACAAAGTTCGTGAGAAAAGTCTTTAATTAAAAATTTCTCAAAAAATTGTAACAAGATAAAATAATTTAGAAACCAGATTTGTATTCAGCATCCAAAAAATATAAAAACGTCTAGTCTCGTTCTGCTCAATTTTTTTATTGAACTGTATAATTTTCGATTTTAAAACGATTGAAAATAAAGGCTTCTTCGCAGACTAAATAAATCATGATAAAATTTACCACAGTAAAAATATATATATATAAATATGAATCGGAGAAACTTTTATAAAATTCTTCCAATACCATATTGTCGCACAATTACCATGATTTTCCGGGTAAATTCGAAGAGAAAATTCTCTCCGTGTAGTCGAAGTAAGTAAAATATTAAAGCTACATTTTTCAGTAATAAATTTCAATAAGCCGAATTTAATTCAATAGAATTTTAATTGAAAGCTCAAGTCACAAAGATACGACAAAAATGCTGATCTCCCATTAGCGGGTGAGTCTGGGACACTCTGTATAGACACGTGTGGAGGCGCCAACTTACGCACGGCATTATTCCCGCGAGATTATCGGTATGCAAGCCATATCCACCGATCAATTGAACCGGTCGAGCAGTCGAAGAGGGTGGTTATCCCCGGGTACCATTGTACTTCGCGCTGCTGGGTCCGATTCTGGGTCAGCGTGAGCTAATGAGAAACTATCGGACTTATATATATATATCTACACACACATATATATACGGCGTACTCGTTATGCAAAACTCGCGCGCAAATTGAATTCCTCCTGGCGACACGAGTTTGTCTTTTATGGAATTAATTCCCGCCCGGCAAGAGAATGTTTGACGTGACGTTCGAGGGATTAAGGTCGCAGATGAAGATCTCTTCCCGGTCGACGCTATTGTAAGAGAAACAGGCCGAGAGAGAGGGAGATGACAGCGAATATGTAATTGCGAAATTAGCGTCGGCATTTGTCGCGGAGAAAACGGGATTAGAATTTATATTTCCGGAGTAACCTGATTTCTCCTCTGTTTTTCTGAGCCTTCCGCGATTCTGCATTTACATTTACTCGGCGCGGAGATAAAAGTCTCTCGCGACGAAAAACTTTTGATGAAGAACGAAGCTTGCTAATAATATCGCGATTATGGGCTCTTAAAGATTCAACGACGGCTGTTATTTGTGTCAGAGAGACTTTTTAACTATTCTACTTAATAAGATTCGCTCGGGGAAGACTCATCAGAGGATTTAATTGAAACGACCGCATTGATTGCCGGACAATCCTCGCGTTTCTTACCCGGTATACAATAACCGCAAATGAAATAGCGACCGCAAACAATGCACCGTATAGTAACTTATACGGCCTATTAACGTAGTTGCAATTGCGGTGATACCGCAATTGCAACTATATGCACACATGTTTACACCGTAAAAAATAACGAGATACTCATCGATTGAATCGTATAATTCCAAGAATCTCAATTTTACAAATTTCTAGTTTGACAGACATAGTGTTGTGTTTAGATGATTTTAAAATTAGCTAATATGTAAATTTATCTTAAATAAGACAAATATGATTTTAAACTCTTAATTTAAGAATTGTTAAACTCTTAATTTAAAGATGATTTTGTTTTAAATATATCTAGATAAAAGATACAATTATAGTTTGACAGTGTTGTGCTTAGATGATTTTAAAATTAGTTAGAGAAAAATGAGATAAAAATATGTAAATTGATCTTAAATAAGATGAAGATGATTTTGTTTAAATATATCTAGATAAAAAATAAAATTATATAGCGATTCATCTAGATAATTTTTAAGATTACTTGTGTAAACACAGTTATAAAAAAAGGAAATTATAAACGGAATATAAAAATATATGTGTTCGCATTTTTATTTATAAATTTTTATTGCTTACTGCTTCTATTTAAGTATTTTTATATGCTACGATTCTAAATCAAAATTATCTGAGAATTATTCTAGATAATTTAATAAAGATAATACTTTTCTTCATCTAAGATATAGAATACGTATTTTTATTTTTCATATAAAGATAAGATGACACCAAAGTTTTATCTAGATGATCATTTATATAATTTTATTTAGATCACAGCAAACACACACTGTCGACAAATAAAAACATCTAGATAATTTTTAAGATTACTTGTGTAAACACAGTTATAAAAAAAGGAAATTATAAAAGGAATATAAAAATATGTGTTCGCATTTTTATTTATAAATTTTTATTGCTTACTGCTTCTATTTAAGTATTTTTATATGCTACGATTCTAAACCAAAATTATCTGAGAATTATTCTAGATAATTTAATAAAGATAATACTTTTCCTCATCTAAGATATAGAATACGTATTTTTATTTTCCATATAAAGATAAGATGACACCAAAGTTTTATCTAGATGATCATTTATATAATTTTATTTAGATCACAGCAAACACACACTGTCGACAAATAAAATCATCTAGATAATTTTTAAGATGACTTGTGTAAACACAGTTATAAAAAAAGGAAATTATAAAAGGAATATAAAATATATGTGTTCTCATTTTTATTTATAAATTTTTATTGCTTACTGCTTCTATTTAAGTATTTTTATACGCTACGATTCTAAACCAAAATTATCTGAGAATTATTCTAGATAATTTAATAA